ACACCTGCCCGGCACCTCAGGTCTGCGGACCAGACATTATTAGAAGTACCAAGAACTAAACTGAGGCTCAGAGGGGATCGAGTCTTTTCTGTTGCTGGTCCCTCTCTCTGGAATGACTTCCCACTGAACATTCGGCAAGCCTCCTCGCTGCCCATCTTCAAAACCCGCCTCAAAACTCACTTGTATTCTTTGGCATTTGACTCAGCATGACTTAGATTGTTCTTGGTTTTGCTGTTCGGTGCTTTCTACTGTTTTTATTACCGATTTGCTTTACTGTTTGTTGTATATGTTAATTTGCTCCATGTACAGCACTTTGTATGCAGCGATGGCTGTTTGAAAGTGCTCTATAAATACAGTTGAGTTGAGAGTTGAGTATATACACACACACACACACACACACACACACACACACACACACACACACACACACGATGTTAACTGATGTACCAGGTTTGTCGACCTTTTCTAATGTAGTCAGACAAAAAAAAATCTCCGTTCAAGTCCCTTTCCTCAAGCCACGACCACTTGAACGTGTTCCTTACACTCGCGTCTATTGCCTCAACATGGCTACGCTCGTTAAAGCAAAACAACGAACTCAAACGCGTGTTCGTTCAATGTTGTCAACTAATATCCGGATTAATTTTAGGCAATTCTTCCTCAATTTTCCGGAGGAATTTTCATGAAAATGTGAAAATCCGGAGGACTTTTATCACTGGATCATAAAACAGTTGCTCCCTGCAACACGTTTGTTTGTCACCGACTTGATGTTGCTAATCACCGAAACAAAATAGATGAACACGTAAACATAAAAAAAAACATGACGACAAAGTAACAGGGATACAGATACGTTACGGAAAAAATGCGAAAATGGTGATAAATGGCCAATCGACCAACGGTGGAGCTGAAAGTGATCTTTAAAAAATAAATAACTGATACTTACCTCACCTCTCGCCGACCAATACGGGTTAAATGTGATATTTCCCTTTGGTGAGTTTTTTAGAGCCTCTAACGTTTCCCAACGAAGGCTATCATTAGGCATTGTGAACAAAACGTAAAAACAAGTTTTTAAAAATAAAATAACACACGCAAACAAGGTACGATCCTACCCTACCAAGCGCCCGCACGGTCTCTGGTGCGCATGCGCGGCAGATCGGCCATTTTGGACCACTACTACAGCAAGCACAATAGGACAAAACATGTAGGTGTCGCGATACCTTCAAAGTGAGTGAGTACAGTAATAGTGTAAGCAAGCAAAATTCGAACAATGAATCCATCCAGTTATCAAGGCAATAATATGAGTCGCTGTTCCCGAGAGAAAGAGAAAGAATGACAGTGGCAGATTTCCATATGCTGTACAATATTTACACATACAGGTACATGTATATTGCAAACAACAAACAGTATTTCAAACAATAATAATGTATTTGTGATTTGGGTGGTGGTGTTTGGTGGGGTGGAGGTTGGAGTAGTAATGCATTTTTTCCGGAAATTGCCGAAGTCCATCATGTTTGCTGATTTTTTTTTTTTTTTAAACTCTACAAATCATACATCAACCTCACCTTACCTGATTCATTCAGCAATTGGAATGCAATTTTTTTCTTGATCTTTTGGATCTGTTCTTCTCTCTTGATTTGAATAATAGTTAAAAATGTCAACTTTTGGACATAAAGTGGATATAAAAGCAAACGTCTTTTGCAAGAATGTGTTATGTGCCAGGCGACACGGTGGTCGACTGGTTGGCACATCCGCCGCACAGTGCAGAGGTGGGTTCGAATCCGGTCCTAGGTCTTCCTCTGTGCCCGATCCACACATGGTACACAGTATTTATTTAAAAAAGGAATACATGAAAAAAGCTGGCAAACACTGTCCAATTAATAATTAAAAAATTGCTAACATAACATAAACCTGTGTGCCATGTATTATTATATTATCCTTCACTGCCATGCAGTTACAATATCTCTGCATCTAAATTGCACATACTGTACATATCCAATCAATAATGGATGTCAAAGTCCTTGAAACCAAGCTCTCATTAGATAGATAGGTGGATAAACACGGTACTTTAGTCTTCCAGTGAGGGAAATTACTGTTAGCAAGATACTGATACGTCACTGCAATGTTATCCATGTACTGCTGTATGGAAAGACGTACTGTACTTAATTTCCTTCCGCTGTGTAAGCAAAGAACAGGAGAATAAATCCACCATGATGATCACATCTCTGCATTTCTTTCTTGCTCTGGTAATGTTATGGCACACAACTACAGCAGATTTTACAAATGTGTCTGAGTGCATACTGTATTTATTTTAGGAACAAAGTTTCCTTCTAAAATACCAGTTATAACTGTGCTTTTGATCAGTGAACAGCCTGGAAATGTTATAACCCCATTATACAATATAATGGAAAAAATAAAACTGGGAATCGGTGGTATGCCAGGTCTTTTTTTTTTTTTTTTTTTTAGAAAGTGTGTCCTGCGTCATACAGACAGATGGGGTGGTTGTGAAATAGAGCATGAAGGTCAGTTGTGGTCCATGGCATTTTGGATCAATAATTATAGGTCAAGCAATGGGCTGTCAGAGGCATGACCTGCTGGTTCTTGGATGAGTGAACTGTCAGATGTTGGTTTGGATGGATGGCTTGTGTGTTGTGGGTGACACTATTTTTAGCTGGACTCTTCGGTTGATTGGTGCTCCATTATTGATCGCATATTTGAAAAACAGTATCTCGAAGAAACGTGTATATTTTGTTATCTTAGACATTGATGGCAAATAACCGATGGCCACGAACAGTGTAAAATACCCCCCATCTAAGTTTCCAAAATATACAGGGTCCTTTGAAGTGGCCAACATGTATGCAGAAGAGTCATTGTCATTGAGCAATGCAGAATTTCAATTAATGTCTCAAGGGCCTCTTGAAGGCCCAGTCTATTTATTTGTCCCCTTGCAAATGATCGACCCATAAAGCTCTGAGTGAGTGAAAAGTAGTGTCAGTGTGCATGTGCAGCGGTGAGTCGTTAATGGATTGTTGGAAGCAAAATTACATCTGGGAAGACAGAGAAAGAAAAGGGCACTTTCATCAAGGAGTTGGGCACACCTGAAGGTCCCACAATACCACATCCCTATCCCAAACCCCCTTGACACTCAGTCTACAATAACTTCATCAGTAGACTGTGTAAAATGTTGTTCTTTTCTGCAAATGCACCAAATCTAGGATTCATTAATCTGCCCATGGTTGACAATTGCAGAATGGCCGTCTGAATGGGGAGACAAGAGAGGAAAATGAATATTGCAAGATTACAGAGCAAGGAACATGGAGCAAAAAAACAAGTCAAGCTTTCAAAAAAAAAAAAATTCAAAAAGGTCTCAAGCAAAATATGTTTAGTGGCTGTAAAGACTCAATGAAGAACTTTCACAATCTGGCGGTGTGGTAGAGTCTGAGGCTAGTTTAAGAAGGACAGCTGATTGACATTGGTGGCAACTGCTGAGCGACTCCGGACACCACACCTGAAATGACTTCCAATAACAACACACACACACACACACACACACACACACACACACACACACACACACACACACACACACACACACAGGAGCTCGGCGTGCAGACACAGCAGACCTGTCGGCATCAAGCATGAGACACCAGCACCATACTCGCGGCTGTTGGGAGGAACAGATGTTTCAACGGTCCAACAAAACGGCCAGAATATCAAATGCTAACAGGGATGGAGACAAAAGATTTGTTGAAGTGTTTTGCTTACAAACAGGACAAAAAGAAGCTAGACTTCAAGTGTGCAGAGGGAATCTTTGTTGGGTATGAAAACAAAGAACCCTGCCTAAAACTGCGTCGGCCTCTCTCACGTCAACATTGACATTTTTGCCGCGTATAAGCCTGTGTGCCTCACAATATTTTCAGTAAGGCCGTGATAAGATAAGACTGGACATCAATCAAACAAAAAAAACACCAGTTTCTTTATATTTAGAATGTCTTAGTGATAAGCAAATTACCACGACTATTTCACAACACAAAAAATAGCTACTATGATAAAACAATAATAATAAAGTTTATTTTTAGACATCAGTGCCTCAGATGGGGGGAGGGGACGACACAACCATCTTGTTAGGTAGGCCATCCTGTGGTGATGGGTCTGCACATGGTGGTGCACAGTCAAATAAATCTATTCAATTCATTTGTTTTATCAATGTTCAAGCACATCAAGCTACATGAGTTAGCTGTGTGAGTGATTTAACACCGACACCTGTCTACACTGATGCCTATCTAATGCAAGGTTATCAGATTAATAATCAAAGTTGCTTAATGCAAAAATAAAGGTTGAGGAAGACATTGAAGAATGCTTGGGTAGCAATGACCTTTACGCGACCTGTGCACGTCCCACAGATAAGGAGGACTCATGGATTTTATTGCTCTGGTTTGAAAGGTCACGTAAGATCCATATGAAATCATGTTAAGTCATTCCCTTTGTTATGTTAATGCTGTTGGTCAAGCCAAGGCCAAAAGTGGTCATAACTGAGATTGTTCAGAATTGTTAACTAGTTCACATTCAACCTCATGTTAATTCGTTGTCAGAACACAACTGCATACAAATATCTGTCTTTTACTTTGCTTCTTATTACAAAAATCACGATCCACAAATAGCATGAAGTTAATCTACTATCAAGGTATCAAATACCTTTTTACAGGAAATATGCCACTTTTGTCAGAGTTAGTATGGTGTGCTGCAAACCAGTCGATCATCATGTAGAAGTCAAACATAGTTCAATGCTAATGAGGTCTGTGCTGCACTGTTATAATGGTATCATGACGCCAGTGATGAGGATGATGAAGCTCATGTGGAAACCAATTATGAGGTTTTTAATGATGTAGACGGAACATCTTGAGCTGAGTGTTTAGAAAATGAGAACGTCACAAAAATCATCACATCTCTCAGAGATGTCATCAGAAAACAGGAAAGCATCTCATGGCACTTGAATACAAATGGCATCTAAATACATTTTAAGAGTGGGCAATGTGAGGTATCGATTTATCTGAGACACCCCTTGTATAGTATCTAAGCAACAGAACCTCATGTTGCTGAAGCAAGCAAATAGTCATTCATCCATCCATCTATCCATTTTCTAATCCGCTTATCCTCACGAGGGTCGCGGGAGTGCTGGAGCCTATATTAGCTGTCTTCGGGCAGTCGGCGGGGGACACCCTGAATTGGTTGCCAACCAATCGCAGTGCACATATAGATGAACGACCATTCGCGCTCACAATCACACCTAGGAACAATTTAGAGTTTTCCATTGTCCTTGTTTTGGAATGTGGGGGGAAACCGGAGTAACTGGAGAAAACCCACACTGGCACGGGGAGTACATTCAAACTCCACACAGGAAGGCCAGAGCCAGAATCGAACCCTGCGCCTCTCCATGGTGAGTCGGACATACTAACCAGTCAATACCGTGCCGTCCGCAAGCAAATATTTTCACAAAAATGTTTTTTTGCGTTTTCTTCCTTTCAACGTAATCTACTGTTGTATCAAAGCTAATTAATTTTGGCAGAAACACTTCTGTCATTGATGATGACGAACAACCAATGTACAAAACCATGTGATGGGTGGAACTGAAGATCAGCTTGGTTTCCTCTAGAGAAGGTGTGTTTTTCTATAATGGTGGCTGTGGGGAAAGTGAGACCAGGGTTGGCTCAGGGCACAAACATTTTGCGGTTGTTTAGGTGAGGACACATTAATTCCGTGTTGAAATGCGTGCTCATTTGTTGGAGCTGTTTACACCATATGTTAGACCAGCCCTATGTCACCCTACTACAACAAATGAGGCTCATGCAAAGATGTTATTTCAGTAAAATGTCAGTTGTCAAGTCAAATGCCAGCGATTGGTCAAAAAAAATTGCTCCTGGACCTTCCATTTGCTTACCGGTAGTCATCTGATGTTGTTGTGCAGCGAGTCATCAGCGGCGACGTTAACCTCTGTCAGGAACGAGTATAGCAGACAATGCAGATACAGATAATGTTTATGAGCCTCATCATTGTTTCTATGATTTCAAAATACGCTTCCTGCACAAACAACAGGTTGGTGAATTATGCATTGGTGAGGGTGGTGACCTTTGAGGTGCTGTACCAGCCCAATCTTCCTCTCCATTGAAGCAGGGTCTTATCCACTGAAGAAATAAATGCTGAAAACTATTAGATCACCAGACTGCAGGGATGAACTGGCCATCGGGCAGAACGGGCAAAAATGTCCGATGGTCCTTTAGTTATCTCGGGTCAATTGCAACGCTGTTGTTGTTTTGTCTTGTTTTTTTTTTTTTCCTTTTCTGCTTTTTCCTTTTTCCTACCATTTTGAAAATGCAGCCCATTGGTGCATCTTTTATAGAGACAGTGGATTAGAATATAGAGCAAAATCGGCCCAACCTCTTAGATCAACGTGTAGTGGTGGGCCATTGGTCTATCTTCACCTCAGATGGCAGACTGGGCCAATCATGATAAAGGACAAAAGCGGCTCCACTCCTTTCCTACAGAACTAGCATCCATTATATGTTTTGAGTAATGGTGATTGATAAGTATTCCCAATTATCACTGATACTAATCAATCAATGGCTGCCGAATGCGGCCCATACAAGCCTCCAAAAGGGGCAGTCTAAAAAACTTCATGTAAAAAGCTCAATGTCGCAAACCGTGATCGATCGTCATCAGCAAAATTCATGTTCACATCTTTACTCGTGCACATTTCCTTTACGTGAATTATGTGGTGGACTTGATGAACCTAAACCTTGTATCTTGTTTACATGGTAACTGTTTGCGCGAGTCCACTTTCTATTACAGTTACAGATTTAAACAATGGGATAGGCTCGAGCAACCCCTTGTGAGGATAACGCGGATTGGAAAGATGAAACATTTCCATCCCACTCTACACTCAGGGAGATTAGGATAACATTTAAGAGGTCAGCAACATCGCTACTCTCTGAACTCTGTCGCTGCAGACGTGAGGCAAAGAGCAATCTTAAAAGCGCTGAGGTGTATCAGTACCTACACAGTAATAAAGTTGGTCAAGTTTTGTTAAAAGAGGTTGGACACAGTCTGATTTAGCTTAAAGCAGACGTAGCAGCCAACCCAATCTCCTACTTCCCACTGCATGGTAACCACCTGACCGGGATGCTAAATGTAACGAAGCTCCACGTCACTCGATGTCCTGGGTTCAATTAAAACCCAGGGGGTTCGTTGAATCAGTCTCAGGGGTTCGGCGGAGATCAAGTCACACACCCGTCATCAGATTCGTGATGAAATGCCCCATCTTGGCCATCACTGGCAGCAGGTGATCACGCTACATTGGACGAATATGTACAGTATGGACTCACATGTATAACGGAACATGATTGGAGCCAGCGTCCTAACTGCAGGATTTATAATACCAAATAGAGCAATTCTTGTCTAGCACCGGCAACACTCAAGGAACACTTCCTTCAGATGTATAGAGATGGGAAATACAAGAACACAGCGCTTGCTAAATTCAAGGTGAAGAGAGCCAGATTCGATGAAAAGGCTCCTCTGCCTAATTACATATTTATATATGCACAACAGCTTGCTTTGTTGAACCAGTCTGAAAAACGTGAAAAGCAGTGCCTCCCTCACACAGCCTCTTTACTGTCCTTGTATTAGTGGAGGAGTATTAGCTTTTAGTGTTTGGACGGTATGATGTCATTTTCATATTTGGAAATGTTACTATACATTTTGAATGTTGTCCTGCAGCTTCATTTTGGATGGGTGGTGGGGTGGAGTGGTTTTGAATGGAATAAAAATATCTGTGAGGAAAAAAATTGCAATTCAATCTTTTCCTGAAATCATTCAGCTCGACGTCACAGCACTTTTAGGGCACTCCATGAGTGAGCAACAGATCTATAGGTGTCGACGAGTGAGAGTATTGAAATAATACAATTTACTTGGACATCAGACAAGACATATTCATGCCATTAAATGGATGTGACAAAGTTTACCACTACAATAAGTGCCAATAGACATTCCTGTATTGTTTAGAAAAGTGCAACCATTTATCACCATTTATCACAAACCTGCAAGCTGGAGTTCTTGCAGGTTTGAGAGACATTTTTTCAACTAAATTCATGACTTTATTGTTCCTCTTAGCTATTTTGCAGGACAAGTTTACTGCAAGAGAAGATTACTAAATAAGATGATTTTGATGTCCTTCTCGCTTCCTGTGTGCTCCAGCCCCTCAAAACAGACCTTGAGGTGTATAAACATAGAACCGTTTCAGTGAGAGGTCCAGAGTCTTTACAGAGCGTCTCCACTTCAACATTTACAAACTCAACCATCCTCGTGAGAACAGAATTATCTTTACCTGTCAACAAGAAAATCAAGCACGAATCATGTAAGTCTCATGTATCAGCCCTGGTCAACAAGGAGGAGCTTGACAAATTTACCAATTCCAATTTCAGTGAAGTTAGGGCATCCATCCATTCATCCATTTTCTAATCCGTTTATCCTCACAAGGGATGCGGGCATGCTGGAGCCTAGCCCAGCAGTCATCGGACAGTTAGGCGGGGTACACCAGGAACTGGTTGCCAATCGCACGGCACATGCAGACAAACGACCATGCATGCCCACACTCACACCTAGGGACAATTTAGAGTGTCCCATTAACCAGCCATCCGTGTTTTTGGAATGTGGGAGGAAATCTGAGTACCCAGATAAAACCCACGCAGGCACGGGAAGAACATGCAAATTCCACACAGGAAGGCCAGAGCCGGAGTCAAACCCTGCACCTCTGCTGGGAAGCTGACGTGCCAACCAGTCGCCTACAGTGCCGGTTGGGGCATTGTGCTAAACATAAATAAAAACTGAGTACAATTACTTGGTTCAACCTATATTTAATTGAATACACTACATCGACAAGATATTAATGTTCAAACTGATGACTGTTATTGTTTTAGCAAATAATCATTAACTTCGAATTTGGTGGCTGCAAAGCTGGGGCAGGTGGCCAGAGACAGAGCTCATCACACGCCTGTTTGGAACATTCCACAGGCTAACTGGGAACAGGTGGGTGCCATGATTAGTTGTAAAAGGAGCTTCGCTGAATTGCTCAGTTATTTGCTTCTTGTGGATTTGGACCGCAGGTGTTCAGGTTTCCTCTAGCATTAAAAAACAATGAATTTTACACCCCCAAAAGACAGAAAATACCAGCCGAAGAAAAATGTCATAATATATGCCGTGTATTGTATTGCTTTTGTTTGTTGTTTGTTTGAATTAAAACATTGCATTGGAGGGATCCAAAAGTCATTAAAAGTATTCAAGCTACATTACTTTGATATGATAGTACTTGGATTACATTACCAACAACATACAGTATTTTGAACAGGTCACTAGTAACTGTATTAGAATACATTTTTTTTATGTAACCTTCCCAGCCCAGTCCATTAGCATATAAACCTGTATGGTTACGGTTTTCTGTTAAGTCTTGGTGAAATGATTTGGACTGAAAATATTTTGTATACAATTACTTCCAGTTTGATTCACACGTGCCGGATGTATAGACAGAGATCTCTGAGATATTACGCTGTATGACGGTCTTTTATTAGATTAGATTTATCTCCTACTGGGTTACAAGGCACGCGCGCACACACACACACACACACACACACACACACACACACACACGACATATTTTGTTTATTTATTGCCTGTTTGAGTCAAAGAGATGACTGTAAATATTGATTGTAAATAGTGTGGAATAGCTCTGTTTTAGTTTTCACGGTATACGAGTCGTGGTTCTTTTCCGGAATCGAAGATACACTGCCCTCTTCTACTCAAGGGCCAAACAAGGAGGTTATATGATTTTTTTGTTCAAGTTTTTGTCTCCAGTTTTTTGTAGTATTAAGTCTCACTTTCCTTTTTATTTTATTTTATTTTTTTTTAAATCAGAGATTCAAGTAAACATTTGAGTTTTTTTTTTTGTGCTGATTCTAAATCTGGTCGGGTTTTTTTCTCTCGCATATTAGGTTTTCATAGTACTATGACAACTACCACGAATAATAATATCACAAGATGTAATAGTAACATATTCAATAACATTTATGAACTAAGGCTAATGTTCAGCAAGAGGTGGATTTTTTTTTTTTCCTGAAATGTCATTGCTATAAATTACAACACATGGCAAAATCCGTTTTGCCCAAACTTATATACTGCCGGTCAAACTTGAAGCTTCTCTCAAAATCTCAGTTCATCGAGCATTGGATAATAAACTCTGGTCGTTCTGCTTTTGTAGCATTAGTAGCATCACTTGATCAAGGACAAGACAATGAAACAAATTCTGTGAAACTGAAGTTTAATGGACAGGAGCTCAAAACAGTTCTTTCACGCACATGGTGTCACCAACGATGCAAAACATTTACCAATGCAATATTGCTTTTATATTAGTTCAGAAACAATGCACACACACCTTCTATTCAATCAAAGCAGGGATTCAAATGCACAGGAGAACTATACCCATTTTCTATCTATAATCTCAGTTTTTGATAATGGCAATATCTATTGTTTCTACCTACTGTCCTGACTCACTGGCTTTTGAATGATATACGAGGGCTAAACGTACACGAATTTCAGTATGTGATACATTTATCTAAGTATTAGTTTATTTTAATGTGAAAATAACTTGATTAAAGTGCTCAAAGGTCAAGCCTACATATGAAAAGTTTTAAAATAGGCCATTTGTTGAAGGTGCGCCTTAAACCCCGAAGCACCTTATCGTGCAGAAAATACGGTCATTTTATAATTCAGTGAATGTGTTTCGGTTAAAAATGACACAAGAATGTGTGAAAACACGTTTTAAGAGGTATTTATGAAAATGTTCACAATATTCTCACAAATGGTTAAGCGATGTGTTTTCAGCGTTATTCTTAACACAGGTATAGACAGTGTTCTAATTGTACAGCATTGTACAGTTGTTAGTTATTGTAGTTAGGTAAATTGTGGTTAAGATTATGCTTGGAATACTTAAACAAAAAAAACAACAAAAAAAAAATCAAAGTTTATTCCCTCAAAACTGGGGCATACGTTTCTGGATGATACAGATGACTTTAAAATTGTAAAAACGGATGCGAATGGCTTAGAAGTGCCATTTGTAGTCAGAAAATATATACGGTATGTATTTTTAGATAACTTAGTCTTTTTGCCCAGTGCGTAAATAATTTCACCAAACTCGGCTAATTGAAACAGTTTTGTTTGGCTACGTATGAAATTGGATAGAAGTGACTTTTGGCTTTTGCCAGTCACAATTATGATTACTTATTACTTATTATTAATAATAGTTTTAATTAGGAATCCATACATGCAGCAGCAGGCTTATATTGATAGCATTATTTAAGATGCCGCATCAACAGCTGCATCGCCAAGTGGTTGGGCTCTGAGACTTGACTTCAAGAGGCAATCAGTGAGCAGAATGAACATAATTCTTAATCTTCCTGGACTGTTCACCAGTAATGATGAGTAGTCTTGGACAACCGCTTCAACAATAATCTGACAATTATTCAGGGAAAGGTTTCAATCAATGCATTGCTTTGCAATTAATAATTCTTGACCTTGGAAACACATTTGATTAAAAAGGAAAAATATGGATATGAAAAATTGTTTAGGTTGCACATTAATCCCGAAGCAAGCCTAACTTCTATTACTGTCCAAACAGACAAGTTTGTGTGTTTAAAAACATTATGGAAAAACAAAAAAACAAACAAAAAAAATGGAACTTTGAAACATTCTGTACATAAACATTATTTAATGTGACATTACACAATATAGATTACAACAAAACTGCTAATAGTTAATTACTTGATTTAATGAAGCTCAATAAAACCTTTTGAGCTCCACTTTTGACTGCCACAACTACCTTTGAAACAAGATGGCAAGCTGTCTCTGTCAGAGCCTTAAAGTGCTGTTTTTGCACAGCTATTGTCATGTATCCACATTAAAGGGACTCATACATACTCCTCCCCAGCATCAAATAACCAAAGGTGCCCCCCACCACACACGTGCGCACGCACACAAAATGCAATCACATCATAAAGAAGGTGAATGGGGACAGGGTAATAATCTATTTTCAGACCATCTCAGCAAGGAGAGATGCAGCAATGTACTGTAAAAGTCACTGTAGTTGACACAGCACCAACTGCCTGATAACACCAGCAGTTATGCTACACATCAAAGTAGTTTTTCTTACTGGATGTTCCAAATAAATGACTCGGTTATGTTTGACCTCACAATATTTTTCTGAAGTAGTGTTTGGTCATTTAACACAGACTATTTCAGCTGTACACAAGGCATTGCCGGATAAAACAGATTCACTCGACTCTGTACAGTCTACGGTTACAAAACAAGTTCAACCATATTCGGCTACAAGTGTATCATGGACCTTCATGAGACGTGTCTCATGTTGGTTGAATCGGCCTTCACCTCTCTGCTATGTCAACGATGTAATATGAAGGACACAAGACAATATGTTTAGTTGCAATTCAACTTTTAAAAGTCACCTATCGTCTTCGAAGCTGGTACTTCAATAATGGCAACACAAAACACTGAGGTAATTGAACTTGAGTGCAGATTTGTTACAGTTGCCATTTATCACAAACATGTAAATAATAGAGAGGAAGATTCTCATCACTTTGAGGCTTTTCAAAATACTGAAAAGCACATATGCTATCCTAAAGTTAAAAGTTGTCGTCTGACTTTCTACTAATATAGACTTGCTTATGAACTGTGTTGATACACGCATGCAATATAAACACATAGTAGTTGAACACACCTAATCAGCCGCCGAACAGCTCCGGAAAGAATAATTGGTGCTGTTGCAGCGGGTGAACCATGTAATATTGTAATGCTACACAAGATCGAGGGCGATGACTGTCTGTTTGGCAAGGCTCGTCTAAAAATGGAGAGAACGTCTGGATTAGCGAGCCTGACAGTTGTAACATCCTGCTTGACATGTGTGCTGTATGAAGACCTTCACCTACACGAATGTTGCAATATGAACCGTGAATCTAATTCAAAAGTATCAAACACTGGCTTTATCCTGAGATAATACAACAAACAGTCTATACACAATTGTAATACATAGATGATCAAGTGATGAAAAAAAATGTTAATTTATTAATAAGACTAAATATTAGTTCATTTAAAACGCCAGCAGAGAGAGAATTGCCGGAATTCTATTCTCCTAATGCGCCACAAAGGACTTGCTTATTTGAAGAAATTCAACGAGCTTCCACCGTAAAATGGAGAAAAGTATCTAAGGGTGAGAAAATAAAATCACCTTCAGGAAGAAGGAATTTGTGTTTTCTTCTGCCACTCTTTAATCAAGCATTCTCCGCACACTCGAAAATCTAACTGGAGTGAGCATGTTCCGACACATTTGGGCCAAGGAGGGAAAAGTCATTTCCTTTGACCCCATTTTCCTGTCTTTCTCATTCTTGTTTCTCTGAGAGATTAGCAGGAACGGAAAGTGGACAGAAGAGCGACGGTACACCACGACAGCTGAATCTACTCGGCCACTCTGTCCCCTTCAGGAGAGAGCAATAAATCCCAGGCAAGCTGGTGCTGCTGCTCTAACTCTACCTCCGAGCTACTCCGGGGGCCATTCCACAGCCTCCGTCACAGCACAGGGGCTCAGGTGCGAAACAACTGGCCGACGAGCCAGAAAATAGAGCTTCGTCATCACAGCAGGTCGTCGTAGTCCAGCATTTTGGAGTGCTGGCGGCTTTTCCACAGACGAAACAAGCGGAAGTTAAAGTACATCTCAATCATCTCTTTACCTAGAGAGAAAAGAAAAAGGCAGAAGAAACACCCGATTACAAAACTGTCCATGCCTTTGGAGAAGCCGACTCTGTCACAGTTGGGCTGTGCTTGCAAAGTGAGGTACTACAGATTTCAACCGATGTCGTGAAGCTCAATTTGCAATTGAGACAAAATGAACAGTGACTGAGGGTTAGTGGGCAGGAGCGCAACGTGAAATACACACTGAGTGTTGACAGTACACAGAAATGCATACAGAGATTTGACATATTGAACGGAAACTCATCAGAGCTTCACTACACATACTTGGACCTACCGACGATCCTACGATGTACATGTAGCGATATATCGTGTGAGAGATAATACAACATATCCCATACGGATCTTTTGTACCACTGAAGCAAACTAGAATGTCAAAATGTAAAAGCCTGTGAAAATAGATGAGATAATGACACTCTTACTGAGAGAATAATTAACGCAGCATCAATAGCTGTCAGAAAAATGACAGATGCGTAAGTAGCGCAGCAGAGTTCACACCTGCGTTTGCTCATACTCCCTAATGTACTTTCTTCATCAGTGAAAAGGCTTGCTTACACTGACTAACGTCAGTGATTAAAGCCCACCAGTTGGGATTGTGGGGCAAATCGATAATGTCTGGATTTGTTGTCAAGGGGACATGCGATGGATATTTGACTGCTTTGTTGCTTGTATAGTGTATGCAAATAGTTTGGTCTCTAGTTGTGAAGGTTTGGCAGGGTTGAGGAGCCAATTGCAGGGTAGCAGAGAAGGAACATTTCAGGAACGTACTTTGTAAAAAAGGAGAATCAGAACAGTTACAACAAACCCCCACGTTCCAAATTTCCCATTTGTATTTATATGTTTCATGTCCGTGTTTGTGACCAGATTTCATGGCTTTGTTACAGTTGCAGCGATTGTGAAGGCTCTATATCAGTGGTTCTTAACCTGGGTTCGATCGAACCCCAGGGGGTTCGGTGAGTCAGTCTCAGGGGTTCGACGGAGCCTCTGCCATGGAGGGTAAGACACACGGTGACTCAACATGTTAATTAGTTATGACACACCCACTTGGCCATCACTGGCTGCCGATGATCACATGACAATGCTTGTCCAATCAGTGCTGTTGGAAATTTAATTCGCTTAGTAGTCAATGTATGACTGTCGTGATAGTACATCGTACAATTAAAAAAAAAAGTATACTTATCTCTTGAAACTTTATTTACTTTTTTCTGTTTTTAATAAATGCGTTTTTTTTTTAATATCTTGCATTTGTAAAAAAAAATATATTTACTTTTCCCTCATGAAGGGTTCGGTGAATATGCATATTAACTGGTTGGGTTTGGTACCTCTAAAAAGGTTAAGCACTACTGCTCTATATAAATAAAGCTGTAGTGAATTGTATTGTCTTCACTTTTGCGTGTCTCCATCTAGTGGATGCATCACGCAACCGCAGCCACTATTGTAGCTTCTGTTCTATGCGCCTTATAATGCAGTACGCCCTATATATGAGCACAGTTTTAAAATAGGCCATTCACTAAAGGTGCACCTTATAATCCGAAGCGCTTATAGTGCAGAAAATATAGAAACATGAAGTTAGTTGTGTCGTACAAAGAGAATGATAATTATGCCCAAATAACGAGAACAAATAAATGCAATAGCTAGCTGTGCAGTTTACAAACTTTGTGAAGGTGTAAAGTGATCTCACCCTGTGCAGACAGTTCTAGTGGGGACTTGAATTCAACAGAGGAGGGTCTCATCAGCCTCTTCAAAGTCTTAATCAGCTGCAGGAAGAGAGAACAAAAGGAGAATATCTTTTCAAATAAAAACAGAATGATTACACAGAGAAAAAAAATTGAATGGCCGTCATGGAAGAAGCCCATTGCCACTTTGGTGGTCTTCAAGCAGCATGAACTGTTGCTTGCAAAGGTCAACGGTCTATGCTTAGTGATAACATTTTTCACTCACCAGAGAAATCTGACCGATAAAAACGTACCGTGTTTCGCATGTACTACTATATCGAGTACTGCACTTCAGTTTCCAAACCTCACTTTTTTCAAACATTTGTTTATGCGGTGAAACTATAGTCGCTACAAGGGTATACAGAAATGTTTTAGAATACTGTTGATTTTTTTGTTTTAAGCCTCTACCTTTTTGGGTTGACTGTTTGTAAATTACTACTCCAGTATTCCGTCTGCTTCCCTGCACTTGGATTCATCTTTTAACTGCCCACCCCCACAACAAAACCCTCCAGTGAAAACGTGACTAACTGATCGCGTAGTTATAAACGGCGTCACCTGAAGACAGCTCACTCTATTAATAGCATCTACCCAGCTGAGCTTGCAAGAGCACGCACAGGCAGCAGCAGTTCGATTTATCAATTATGACAGTGCTAATATCACATATTCATTACAGAACATAAATATATCATTTTCAAATTAACATCTTGGAGCTCGTGTTAGTCAACAAAAGCAGAAAATCATGATGATGGATGTCTCTGGAGGCGAGTCACTGTTTTCTTTCGAGACAATAGATTATTTTAGGCTGCCATAACAACACTGCAGAGACATTAGGCAAAGCAAGCAAGGAATATATGACTAGTTTTTATCCCACACTAGCACCTTCCTGGAAGATGCAGCTGTAAACATTTAGAAAAATCGATGTGATGAAGGTTAAACCTCAAGGCAGATGTTTTCAGGGGCTTCATCTCGGGTCACCTTGAAATTCAAATCACTTCATTGCTGAGCACAAAGTGTTGAGCATGTGCAATATTTGAACAAATACATGCTTAACATTGTCTCAACTGGGTTCGTCGTTTTTAAGAAAACGATGGATGGACAGGCAACATCAAAGCATCATTTGCATGTTCGTATTTGATGGGGACAGACAAGATTCTGGCATCAGCCATTTTTGAAGTTAACTTTTGCCCAAATGACCTGAGATGTTAAATTGCATACAAAAGAAATGAGTAAGAAATGATACTTTGTTCAACATAAACAGGATTCAACTGACACCGCACATTAGCTTTCCTTATAAATGCACTGTATGCATTCTGTATTTTTAAATCTTGATCTACTTGAGCTCTGCTTACCTCTGGCATTCTCTCTTCTCGTTGATGCCAAAAAAGTACAACGTGTACTTCGAAGTGGGCATTGCAATCAAATGCTTAATGTCTCCCACGTACCATTTGTTGTGGATTTCGAGATCATCCTCAAAGGGACAAAGATGTTTGAAATTGTGAAGCTAAAGGGCCATTACTGTAGCGAAACCACTTACAAATGCATATTTCAATTCACAACTATATAACGAGAATCTACAAATGGGTGAGTGAAATAAATGATGAAATGTTTACATCAACCTATAAGTGTGTGATCACTAAACACCGAGCCTCTGTATCCTCTCGTGTGACTTTTGCCGTACACAACTCACAAATGCATGTGCCAATTTGTGTGTGGTTCTGTAGCTACAGATTGAGACCACAAAGGGATACTATATATAGTCGAGCCATGGCTGGAAGCCAAAGCCTGAGTTTTTACTTCACAACTACTTTACTGCAGTTTTAATATCATTTTAAACAGCAAAATTGCCAAAACAACAAGCGGTGCCACCACGTGTGATGATGCAGATCCCACACAGTGGCCCAAGTCGATGACATAACGCGCGCTGTCCCAGTTCTGTGAATCTTTTTTTTTTTTGTACACTTTTAACCTGCGCTCTCAAACACTACCTGCACTTCTACTAAGTGGACCCTTCACCGAGGACCATAGGGTCTAGTGTAGGTATTGGGACCGGGCCGTTGGGTCCTGCTCAACTGCATGGTGATGCGTTTCGGAAAGACATCAAAGACCTGCAGGAGGCAGAGCGGTGCCATTTCTGGTTTTGGGTAAGTAAGACTTGGGGGGCAATAACAACTAGGGCAACAGCAGTGTTTCATGCCATCACTTTGCCACCAGGAGATGTACTAGAGAAAAGTGAGTGAAACATCCTCACTCAATGTGGTCCTCAGCAAATGACCCGTTAATGCCCAATTGTTTATGATCATTTCAGGCCTCTCCAGAGCTTGCTGATGAGCTGATCATTTGAATCAGGTGTGTTGGAGTAGGGCGGGATCTAAAACAGGCACGATATAGCTCTCGAGGAACCGCGGTTCCCTACCATATCCATATAAGGGTGGGATAAAGAAGAACTGGTATTTTGGTTCAGATCCTTTTTTGTTGGGTAGCTTAGTTGACAAATATGTATCAAGACGGTTCTGTTTTGATCTCTTTTCCAGGTAAGAGTAGTGGGCGGTTCCCTCCAGTGGCGCACCTGTCATGCATTATAATCAACCAAGTATTTCAGGACTGCCACTGTCGGATTATTCCATATCTTGCTCATGACTGTCTCAAGTGTTGAATTTTCAAGATGTTCTCTCTCGTTCACGCTACGTATTTTCTCGCCTTATTTCTGCATTTTTAATAGTAAGTGTTTTTGTTGTTGAAACTTAATTTCGTTTTTGTATTTTTCGCAGTTTGGCTTTACTGTTGTCTTTTCACGACAAGCTATTTACGTTTATATTATCCATGCCTTTCACAAGTCAATTTGGTTTGACCCGTTTTCCTGTTTTTTTGTGACCAGTGTCATTTGTTCTACTTTGCCGAGCTTGCGTACTTTTGTATAAATAACCTATTTTTGTTCAAACCCAACTGAGTCCATGCTTTGAGAGTCAAATTCTGTTTCGGGCAATTCCGAAACCATTCCAAAATGTACGGTGAATAACGCATACATTGTAATAACAAAATTCAGGGGGCTGCAGGGGATGCAAGGGGTTGACTGAAGTGTTTAGCCTTTGCAACGAGGTCACTGCTGCACTGAGTGTTCACGACTTATTGACTCAAGACTTAATAACCTTTCATTTTGTTGTTGCTTTTAAATTAGGTTCTTTTGTAACTTAATTCTGGGGAGAAAAGGGCCAGACAAAATAAAACTTGTCCACCTGCTCCGTTTCAATCTAAATCGGAGAACATTTGTATTTATATTATAGTTTATTTTTCTTTTAGAAATGAATGAAATAAATGAAGGACATACAATGACAACTTAAAATGAAAAATTACGCTCAGTGCAGTGCCGCTTTTTTCTACATATGTAACACAGTGCAAAATCTTGTGAAAGTGAAATCTTTCATAAAGTTTGTATTCATTTTAAATGTAGGTTCTTTTCTAAATGGAGAGTAAAGAGTTACACTTGCTTTCTACGATGCCAAGTTTTACACAGCGTCTCTAAGAGAGGACGATAACGTGTAACTTGCACGTGCACATGAGATATGTGCGATTGGCCTGCATATGGTAAGTGTGCATTTGCCTCTGTGGGGGCGGATGAGCAACAGCACGGGTACTGGAGGAGGAAGAAGTGTGAAAGTAAATGTTGGGAGCACGTAATTGCAACAAGGGTCAGTAAGTCCATGTGTGAATTGAGTGGGCGTCAAGGAGTCTATTTTCTTGTCATTTCAAAGTGTGCTGTACGTTTGTGTGAGAGAGAGCGCTTCCTCTATTTCACTGTCCACCCCTGCATGTGCTGGGTGGCAGCCTGACAGCAGGATAAGAACAGCAAGTATTTAGGCAGCTGAGATGTTGAAAAGGTCAAGTGACACATACATTTCCTTACTTAAAAAAAAATATCCATTGTTTATTATTTTCTTAAGCAAGCCCTGAGGATCTCAAGAGCTGAAACCGACAGCTTGCTTGAAAATCTTCACACTGCTGTTCTCAGCATATGGCATTTAGCGCGTGTGTATTTGCACTCACAATTACTCTGAGTAAGCATGAGCTGCAGGTGCACACATTTGCAGCACTTTGTGTTTTTTTTTTCAAAGGGTGCGTGCGTAAGTTCTCTGTTGGCAAGTCTTAGTCACGATACAAACGCGGTATACCTTTTCTCCATTTGCACTCCCTAACACATAGCAGCCCATGATGTGGATGACGTTGGGCTCAGGGTTCAGCTTACTCATCAGCCTGCCCAGCTGCCGCCAGAAACTGCGTTCAGAAGAGAAGTTATGAAATCAATGACAACAGGGTCGAGAGCAGCCCAGGAAATTAGAAAAGAGAGCTTGAAAGAAGGCTGAGGAAAATTGAATTATGCCTCATTGACGGTAAATGCATAACAGCTTTAGTGTGTATATTATGGGTGCAATTTAAAAAATATAGCTGACTGAAATGATGCTGTGTTGACCCCTAACCCATCCAGCATGCATGGCGTGCTGGAGCCTATCCCACCTGTCTTTGGGCAGTAGGTGGGGTACACCCTGAACCGGCTGCCAGCCAATCTCAGGGCACACACAGACGAACATCCGCACCCACACTCACACCTCGGGACAATTTAGAGTGTTCCGTTAACCTGCCACGCATGTTTTTGGAACGTGGGAGGAAACCAGAATACCCGGAGAAAACCCAGGGAGGCACGGGAAGAATATGCAAACTGCACAAAGGAATGCCGGAGCCGGAATCGGATCCCCCCACCTCTGCACTACGGGGCCGAATTGTTCTTCTGTCTATGTGTGCCCTGCGATTGTTTGGAAACCAGTTGTGGGTGTCCCCCGCCTACTGCTCGAAGACAGCTGGGATACGCTCCAGCACACCCACGACCCTTGTGAGGATAAGCGGATTAGAAAAGGGATGGATGGACATACCTGTTTGTCACAGGACAGCAATATTTCTAATAAACAATTGTACTACTCAAATACAATTTATTAAATTTGCTCCCATGTAAGGTAATTTTGGGATACAGTTTAATATGATGGAAATTTTGCCCTTCATCTTCAATCTGCTCTATATATTTTTTTTTACGTCTGGAGTTGCTTACTGGATCATATCTTCCTCCTTTTCCACTTTGGCGAAGGTGGCCACTTTATTCTTCAGTAGATACAGATGGCCCGGCCCTCCCTGTGGAAAGATTCATTTTCAAACTCATGACACAGCGGTGTCATCAATCATCTTTGTTGCAAGCAAAAACAGTAATGGAATATCTGATTTGTTTTGATCGCATTCACTGCTTCTGACAGTGGGAACCACAAAAATTAGAGAACTGTATTGCTTTAAACAGGACTTTTTGCAACTGATGGGCATATTTAGACCCCAAGATAACAGTGCTTTTTTTTCAGGGCCAAAAAGATATTTCTTGACTGTGAAAGCAAGTGTCGAGCTTGCAGAATCAGTACTTTTGATATTAGCACCATATACTCAACAATAAAGACAACTGAAATCTGAAAATAGAATCATTTAGGTTAAGAAGATATAGTAGAATAAATTCAGGGGCACAGGGCTAATTATCCCCCCCCCCCCTCACACACACACACACATTGTTTCGCTGTCCTGGTTACTCAGTTCAACATAGCTAAGGTCTTGTTAAGTCGACAACATTCTATGTAATGTATGACATGTTATGACCCAATGATGTCACAGAATTCCTAAAATCCTGCCCATCTTGTCACTCACTTGGCAGAAAATGAGCATATTCCAAATTTTGCAGCCTTTTCTGTAGGCAGTCAGCTTCTTCTTGATTTCCTCTGAGTGTCGGAGTATGAATGAGAGAGAGAGAGAGAGAGAGAGAGAGAGAGAGAGAGAGAGAGAGAGAGAGAGAGAGAGGGAAAATCAGAAAGAGAGGGGTGTCACTTTTCACCACTCAAATGATGAAACACGTACATTGTCTGTCTCTTGACAGCATCATGTCAAATAATGAATCATCTCAGTGCTTCAACAACTACAGATATGCCACATTGTCCTTGCTACCTTCACACAGCATTGTGCCAAATTCTGAAACCGCAAAACCCGTCATGCTCACCAAGGATGTCGTCAAATGTAGCGTGCTCGTGGTCCTGAAAATAGGAGAGTTACAAGTTCTTATTTCACCACATTTGAGCAGAGAAGTACAAAGAAAGATGCAGATTGTTCAAAAAATTAATAAGAACAAATATTTAGTGTGAAGTCTTTATATGTAATAAAATAGGGATAAAATATTTTGAATACATCAATGGCATCCCGCAAGTGTTCAGATTCTGAATCTAAATGAAAGAATCATGACAAGTTAATGCACTCTGCCCATGCACAACATGAGAACAAATATATTTATGTATTAATGAATAAAACCATCATTCAAATCGAGTCAGTCAAGTAACGTCAGCTTTGTTTGAATGCAAACAATCAAGGCTCTGTGAACGCAAATATCGACAACTCCATCAATTATATTGGCAGAATCACAATTGCAAAGTAATGCTTGTGGGTTTAGAATCGATGAAAACAATTGAATTATCCAAATTCAGGACATCTAAAATGTGAAAGTTAATATAGACCAGGGGTGTCAAACATACGACCCGCGGGCCGTAACCGGCCCCCAAGGAGGTTCCATCAGGCCCGCAGGATAATTTAAAACGGAAAAAAAATGCATAAAAGAAACGGAATTAATATTTTTAATGAGGTGCAATTCATGGAGTATCCGCTAGGGGGACTCAATGTTTTGATCAGAGTAGAAGACAACATTAGCCCTGTTCACACGACACACATTTGGTCCGACGCTGCACTGAAATATTTTGTTGCGATATATTTTACACCGGAGCAAATTTTGTGGAGCGGTCACACGTGCAAAGCCGCTGAGCGTGACAGCTCCGGCGCAGTGTCGGAGCAGCTCCACTTGCGGTCACACGTGCAGTTTCTGCTGCGGACCAAAACGACAGGAATGCGGAAGTAAAACAGGTTCGGGTCGGGCTTCTCTCTCGCGGACTTTTATTTATTTTTCTTTTAATAAATATTATGGCGGACACTATTTTGTCCTTGTTCAGAATAGATCCACTTGTCGGCAGTCGTGGAATAAAGACGTGTTTACAGTCAATCGTGTGTGCTCCTTATGACTGCCACAATATATGTTTTAAAAAATGTATACTAAAACAATGTGCGGATACT